ACACACACACACAAAAAAAGGATAACTGACTAAAGCTTGGAAAGTGAAGTTAGTTGACTAACACTATTAGTGTTGTGTACTAAAGCCACGCTATGCGCTTGAGACCTCTAGGGAAAGAACACTACTGGTTTCATTCCCTCAGATGGTACCTGGCAGTTGTTACTTTAACTTTAGCTTTTGGCTCAGCAGATCTCTTTCTGAGATGCCTGTTGAAAACAGTGAAATGGGGTCAAGCACACAAACACACATGTACACTGTTTACTGTCTCTCTCTTATTTCTCTGTCAACTTCAGGACAGTTTACACTGTTTGAGATGAGAAAGGTTGTATAGCATCACCATATTCCCTTAACCCTTACTAAACCGGAAATGTCACAATTTGTGAAAAAATAGTGTGCTTAGTTGTATTGAACGTGCACTTGTAGTATACTTCACAGTATAGATGTGTATTTCATATAAATTAAATAAAAGTCCACTTAGGTGTACTTAAAGACACTTTCATGACTGTTACTTGAAACACTTTTCAAAAGTGCACTTTGTAAATGTTTGACTTTTACATTTTAAATCAATATGTTTTAACAATCTTTTGTTGTGCTTCAAAGAAGTACACTTATTTTGATGTATTGAATAGCATCCTAAAGCACATGTAAAGTACTTGATTATCATTTTAATTGCAAAATGTTATTGGATATTACACAAAGTTTATATATTATAGCTGATATATTTTAATATTTATATTATTATATTATATTAGTTAAAAAGCCATCATATTTGGCCATATTTACACTAACATTTTGTTATTTGATTTTGATTGTATTTCATGGGTTATTTTGACCAGACCAACTATGATAAAGTCAAAGCTTTCCAGAAAGAATCCTTCTGGTCAGTAATTAAAACGGCTTCTTTTACTATATGCTGGAATCCTAGGTTCCATTAAAATATCACAAAAAACTATAAAAACAACTGAAGTGGGTTATGGAAACATCATCAGTCACAGTGTGCCACTGTTTCAAGAATGTGATTCAAGAATGTGGGGTAGGTAATGGTGCGTATGTGACATAGGGATATGGATTGAGAATTGCAACCTTTATGTAGTCTATAAAAGCACACATGGGAAATAAATGCAGACAGACGTTGAGTAGAGGCATAAAGACTTCCTCTTAGCTTCTTCTTATTATCAAACGTTCACTGATTGGTTTGTCTAAGTGTATGTGTGTAAAGCCTTTTGTATTCTACACAGGGCTTGTTCCTGTAAGTGGAACATTCTTGTAACATTCCACTGGATTTTGGGATGAGACCCCTACAGTGTACTTTTTACCAGTTGGTGTGCTTGAATGTCCTAAGTCTATGCAATAGTTACCTTGTCCAGATGTTTGTTTGTGGTTTAAACTGTGTGTATGTTGCTGAGCTAAACTGCATTTCACAGATGACTGAGAAAGTAAACATAATTTCCTCTCACAGTGGCTAAACTGCCACAGTAAAGTGAGATGCCACACACACACACAAGTCTAAATAGAGCAATATTAAAATGTGTAAAACTGTTTCCATGGCCAACCACAATCAATTCCTGATGGATAAAATCGATTCCCACCCTACATCCAGTTCTCAAGCATGTCATGAACGCTCACTTGTAGAAGTTCTTGTTGACCTTCTTCTCGTGAGGGAATCCCATCATGCCACAAACCACACGTGAATTTTTGGGTGTCCAGCCATTATCGCAGATCTGAGCCCATCCGTCCTTATTCTTGACTTCCACCACCCCCTCAGTGACCGGCATCCGCTTAGTGGCTATGGTGAAGACAGGACGCAAACGCACCTCCTCCACTTTATTCTCATCTACCAGCACCTAAGAGAGAGAGAGAGAGAGAGACACATGATGCAAAAAATAAAAACCATATGGACAGTCAAACAAGAACAGAGTGTGAAGAAGCTTGTGAGATGGGGGTGTATTTAACCACTTTAGACAGTGCAGGACAAAAAAAGGTTAAAGATGCAGAGCTCAGTCATCAAGTGTTTCCTGCATGTTCGATCAGGGAAGTTATCGTTAACTGAAACTATTAAAAAAAATTTTTGTTATTTAAAATTAAGCTGAAATAAAACAAAATACAAATATTACATAAAACCTTAAACTAAACGAAAAATTAGTAATGTTGCCTTGTCAAACTAGCTAAAATAAGTTTAAGTTGAAGCACTAAAATTATTAGCAAAACTACAATATTTCTTAAAAGTAATATTAAAAAAAGTTAAAAGTTACAAAATTACATAAAAAATAATAAAATTACTAAATATTTAACTAAAATTAAAAATGAAAAAAATATAAAAATACAACATAATTTAAAATATTATTTAAAAAACTACAAAAATATTAAAATTATGCTAAAATAACAGAGTGTTACAAGTCTGTTAGTGTACTTAACTCCTGATTTCCCACACTCAAAAATGGTAAAAAAAAAAAGCAAGTATTCTAATTTAAAGACAACATGTTGTTTTTAAAATATGTTTTGGAAAATATTTACTAGGTAAGGAAGTCTGTTAGTGTACTTAACTCCTGATTTCCCACACTCAAAAATGGTAAAAAAAAAAGCAAGTATTCTAATTTAAAGACAACATGTTGTTTTTAAAATATGTTTTGGAAAATATTTACTAGGTAAGCAACATGCATTTTTTGTACTCAATATCGGAGTTAGAGCCATGATTTGATTAACAATGTTAGGCACATCTATCTAGACACATCAACTATCTAAGGCCAGTGGTTCTCAATTCCAGTCTTCACATACCACCGCTCTGCACATTTTGTAAGTTTCTCTTATCACTTCAGACATTTGTTCTATTTGACCGTAAGTGCCCTGCGAAATGGACATCACAGGATAATCCACACCATGATTCCAGTTCAAAGGGAGCGTATATGTTCCATTCAAAGGGCATTAAAGTGTGCGAGACGTGAATTTAAATTGTATTTATTTACAGAGGTATATTATGTCACACTTCTCTAGTAAGTTTCGTCTTTGTGTGAAGGCGCTGCAGGCTGTGGCGTAGCGCAAATCCATGAATAAATGTTCCAAAGTGAAGTAAACTTCAACAGATTTCCCCTGCTCAGGGATAGGGAGCAATGAACACTGTGTAGGGACCATGTCAATCGAAACAGTTCATGCTATCTTCTAACAAGCTGGTTATCTGTGTCATCTGTGTTAAATAAGAGAGACATGCAAAATATGCGAGGACTGGAATTGAGAACCACTGATCTAGACAACAATGGCCAAAAATAGGAAGAAGAAAAAACCCAGATTAAGATATATAGAAATAAATTATTTTGTATAATATTTTTCTCTCATATTTTCTGTCGGCGCCAGTTCGATTTTATGTTTCATTGTGTTTAATTGTGATTGTGATTTTAGTTGAATTGTGTCTGTGTAGGGTCCTTTACCTCTATAACATTGGAGTCCACATATCCCGGCAGTCTCTCATCTTTACAGATCACTCCAGCGTCCTCATCATGAGTGCAGTCACTGTTACCCCAGCCACGAGACTTACACACTGACACGCTCCTCTCACTGCCACTGCACTGCACATTGTCAAGCCAAATCTTACCTGAAACAAACACAAATTCTGAGCACATACAGAAATGGCTTTATATCTTCTCTGAATGAGTGTGCAAACATGTGCAGGAACGGTACCTGTGCCCTTGCCATACTTGGCGCTGTGAGCCCAGCCTGTGGCAGACACAAAGCCAAGCTGGCGACAGAGGACATGGGCATTGGCCAGTGAGAAGTCATCATCACAGATGGTTCCCCATTCGCCCTTGTAAAACACCTCAATTCGACCCTCATTGTGTTTTCTGGGGAAACCAGACAGACGGAACTTCAGTGTCTCTGGGCCTTCTGCTGTCTGAGGGGTCGGTGTGGGGCTTGAGTGCGCTGGTGGTGTGGTTTGGGCAAAGCATGATGGAATCCAAGCATTAAGTAAGAAGACAACAATGTGTCGCCACCACTGACACAGCTCCATGTGCGGCTCTGCAGCAGGGAACAGAAACATAGTGGGGAAGGTTTGAATAATCCTGAAAAACACCTGGTTACTGTTGTGTGAATGTCATAATATTTTGATTTGGTCACTATCATGTGATCATACAGAACACGTTAAGCACACTCCCACCCCCAGTTCTCATTACTGTACTGTAAAAAATGACTGTACACTAAAAAAAATTGTGAAGGACTTACTTTTTACTAGTAAATGTCACAAATAATTACTAAGTAATGCACACTGAATTAAATGTTACATTTTGAAGTAGAAAGCTTAAAATAGTTAAACATACTCCAGAAACCTTTTTTTTATTTGCAACTTTGAAAAATCTTTTTTACAGTTTTACAGTAATTCATGAGAATCTCCATGGAGAATAATGGGTATTACGACAAAAAAAGTAAAAAAGTTCAGAAGCATTACAACACTGATCATGTCATAAAAAAAAAATGTGTCTCAGACATGTTTTCTCGAGATTTACCCTCAGATCTGTGCATGTATCCTGAATTCCCAACAATCTGATAAAATGACAGACTGATTGGAAATGACATACAGCTAAAACTATTCTGTTCACAAGAGGCATTTACTGTCATTTTACTTCTGGGTCACATTTCACCCCAAATGTGTATATTGTTTAAAGACAATTAAGCCATTTTTAGGACCATAAAAATTTTCTGCCATGTGACATCATTTTTAAGCAAGGTGACTAACCCTGTCACCAATTCTCATTATAATAATGCAAAAATGATTTTATCATTACTGTATAAATTTAATAATAAATCAAATAAATTTGTGTAGGATTTAATTTATTGCTATTAAGTTTCATAAATAATTAATTAAAATAGCAATTTCTTGTAAAATGTAGCCTACTCCAGTAATATTTATTTACAACTCTGAAAAAACATGTTTTACAGTGTACAGTAATAAGAATCTTATTAGATTCATCATCGAGAATAATGGCTATTACAAAATAAAAAAACAACAACATTCAGAAGCATTACAGTAATGATTATCATGTTATAAAAATAATACAAAACATCTGAATGGCTAAAAATAAGCTCTATTAGTTTTCATTATAAAAAAAAATATGTACCTTTTCTTTTAATTTCAGAGAAATATGTGTTTCGGATATGTTTTCTTGAGATTCACCCACAGATCAATGGTCTGTGCATGTATCCCAAATTCCCAACACACCCTGGGGCACCCATTGTGTTACAGAATGAGTGAGTAGGAAAAACTGACAATAACTGCATTTGACACACACATCTCATTCATCCCATAAACATAACCTCATCTCAGTTTTCTCATGTGCATGCACCAGTTTTGATATTTTGATAATCCTGCATTATAGTACCAGCTGGCATATTGACTTTAGGGGAAGCAATAAAACATTTAACTGAGCCACCCACTGACTTTATGTGTGATTGGCATGAGGTTCATCTCATAATGTTTGTAGACAGAAGTGTTTAAACCCTTTGTATAAAGTATGACATCGCACAGATAATTGTGTTGATGATATAACAGCCCCTCGCCTGTGTGGCTATGGGATTTCACTAATGTAACAACAGCTTAACAGACAAGTCACTCTGGAGCCATGTGGGTCACAAAGGAATGTACATTTTGAGCACCCTCTTCACTGGCTATGAGCGAGTACAGGCCCGTTACCCAAACACATGGTCTTCTTCAGTTTTGGGACTGCACAGCATCTTTGAATTGCCTTCATTTGAATATCAGGCCATAGCACAATCTTTTTAATCCATGTAAAAATATCGGTAATCATAAAAAACACAAGATATTGGCCTTTACATGCAGATCCTCAAATTGGGGTGATTCCCAAATATTCTCTTTAAATATGGCCACTTTTGGTCCAGTGGCAAACTCCTTTGTCTTGCTAATGGAATTTCATATCTAGAATTTTGTGTATCTTAAATAAACACAATATTTTGACACTCGCATAATTTGACAAAAGGACAGCTTGATTGGAAATGACAGATATAGCCTAACTATTCTGTGCACAAGAGATATTTACCTTCATTTTACTTGTTTTTTTTTTCATGTCCAATATTTCCTTTGTCTCCTTTCTAATAAAGTACACTAAATAATGCATATTAAATCTACATGTAGTTGTATATAACAAGTCTTTTAAGTAATTTCAAGAATGTGTAAAACTTAAATATGTAACATATGTCAAACGTGTTAAATTGAATAGATAAATCAATGACTTTTCCTGGATGGATCCAATTAAGGTAGGCTAGTAGAGACTGGCGCGCAACTGAAAACAGATCTTCAGCAGCTAAGCAGCACATCATTCACCAGCACACGCTATTTCCACGGTAATTATAATGAAATCAAACTAACAGCATAATATACCTGATAAAGTCTTTAAATCACCTCATCTGTAAACTATATCACGCTTTTAAATTACTATAGAGGCTAAACAAATCTGCTGAGGTAACGGCGAGACGCAGCCAGGTCTGAACCCCATAGGAGTCGTAGACAGATTTACTATTAAACATCAAGTTAATAAACATGTGAGGGCGAAATGCAAACGCATGTTTATCTGTTTATTTAAAGTGACTCCAAATGTAGTTCAAGTAGCTTAACTTCTCTGCGCAAAGGACGGTTCAACACCGCTGTCCATTCTTGAAGAAATGCAAGCGGAGGAGGAGAAAAGTTACTTCCGACAAAACCAATGCGCTCTAATGAGCTGCGTTTTCAGCGTTCTTTAATAAAACATAACAGTGTTGAAAATGCGTTGACATCATTTCTTAGCTTCACTGCAAAACTGGGAATAATACAAGGACGTAATAGAGGAAGTGTAGGCTACAGATGATCCCTGTGCAAGTAAATACTCTATTCAACAGTATTTATGACACATTTGCACGAAAGATTCAACTATTCAATAATATACTCACAGACGAATAAATATGATTTAAAATCGTCCCTTACCTCAAGTTAATCGGTTCCTCCACACTCTCGGCACGCAGTTTCATGCAGTTTATATTTATGCACAGAACCTGAGAAGCATCCAGAAAAGAAAGAGGTACCTGCTGCAGAACCCAAACCTTCTACGAAACAAAGAAAGGCACCTAATGATCAGTGATAACGGGCTGTAACGGCAGTGAATTGCCAGCTGGACAGTCGTGCGGGTGGGAGAGAGAGAGGTGGAGCCGACTCGTGGACGACTTCACGTGAATGAAAAGGGGCAGGATTTATTTTAGGAAAAACACATAGCCCTTTCACAGTTTAGGAGATTTTCCTACTTGCATAACGGAACGTACTTCTGGTCAGGCACGTTTGTAAAATGGCATGGGGTTTTCTGATCTTCGTAAAATTTGCTTGAATATGTAAATAAAAAAAAATAACGCGCTACTATTAAAATATACAATTTTAATGGATCATTGTTTCTGCATGTCAAAAGCACGAAGAAGCCTTATTATATTGTTATTTATATCTTTTATTACAAAAACGACAATAGTTTTGATTAAAAAGGAACCATTTATTTTCCATGTTTTAAACAAAACGCAAGGCACATCTTATTTGCTGGTGTAGTAACAAACTGTATTATCCATACAGACATGAGCAATAAGTAAGTAACATACAACAGAATATAAAGAGAAGGCAACAGAACATATGTTGGTTTGGTGTTGGATTATGCAACAGGGACACCAAGTTATTCCAAAAAAAAAAAGTTCTCAGCTTTGAAGAGGAGAATTATCCATAGTGTAAAAGTTTTTGTTCCCCTCCCTGATATTAGGTCCTTTTCTCTCTCACAGTTGTTTTATGCAAAATGCTGTCAAACAACACTGTTTCTCTACAAACATAATATGACCTACATGACATTTATGAAATTCTGACTCTGAACTCACTGCACATAAAAGAACAGCTTTTATACAACAGACCCCGACAACAAAAATTATACTTACTCATTTTGCATTTACATTGTATCAGTTACATACAAGACAGCAAAATGAAAAAGAAAGGTGCTTGACTGATATCAGCTTGCTGTGCCCCAAAAACAGTGAAATGTACTGTAATGATTACTGTCACTAACAAACATAAACAGGTTTCAGTCACTGTTCTTCTGTTTGATGCAATATCATTTCATAACCTGTAATGATAATACAGTATGACAGCTGACTGATTATAAATGATGTCTAATCACCTGATTGTGAAGTGTTGATTTAAGCTATGTATCAGATCTTACTGTCTTATTCTCATATCAGCTGGTGGTTTTTGCATAAGACTTTGAAAATTGACCGGCTCTAAATAGTTCTGAAGTTTGCAGCAATTCCTTAAACTATAGGCATGTGATTGTTTAGACTGACTGTGTATAGCTCATTATTAAGAGATGTTATTTTAGTGAATAACTATAATATTTTTGGTATTAATAAGATGTCAGGGCTTGGTCTGCATAGTTGAGGGCATGGTCTGATATTTAAAGGCAACTTTGGCCTGTTTGCATAAATATTTCTGACTTTTGGTAAAAGCCACGAACTAAGATAAGGTAGCAGATCAGGATGGGTTTGGTAATTCCAAAAGTGCACCAACCGCTCCAAAATAACCCTGAAAAACACAAATAAAATGACTATGAGTGATTTGTTTAGATCTTGTTTAAGTTTTGGAGGTGTTATAAAGACTCACACACACACACCTCATGTCGGAGGAACAGGGCTTTGAGTTGTCCTTTGCTCCAGTAGTCCAAAGCATAAGCGAGCAGCTTCATGGATAATGTGTTCACTCGCAGAAAGTTCCCAACAAATACCACTCTTTCAATGTTCTAAATGGAAGAAACTTATAATAAAAATTGATTCTGAAAATGTCATTCCTTTAAGAGGAGTTTCCTAGGAGCTGATTGGCCCCTGGTCTCTCATAGCCCTGTACAATGCTGCTTGATCCAGATTCCACAAGGCAGCACCGTAAAGAGGCTGACAGACAAGGGCAAGGACAACGTAATGGTGATTTATAGTGTGGATGTGCACATGTACCTCATTAAGTGCACACATGCGTGTGATTGAGCCAATGTTGTTTGTGATGGTGACAAGTGTTGCTCTAGCCAGATCCTCCTTGGAGACCGAGTCTCTCTTCTCCTTGCATATCATGTTCCCAAAGCTGCAAAAGAAAATGCACACACATTATATTGATTAACGTGTATTATCAGTGTCATAACAGAAACATTTTAAAATGATAACAGTGTCATATAATGAATAACAATGTAATTGTTTGCATATAGTAGCATATAGAAAAAAAAGTTTTATTCATCAAGGATGCACTAAATTGAGTGTCAGAAAAGACATTCATAATGATACAAAAGTTTTCTATTTTAAATAGTGTTCTTTTGAAATTTCCATTCATCAAATAATCCTGAAAAAAAAAAGATCAGTTTCAACAAACATGTTTAAGAATAATATACCCAAAAATGAAAATCTGTCATGATTTCTCACCCTCGTGATGTTCCAAACCCATTAGACTTTGGTTAATCTTCGAAAACTTTTTTTTTTCCCCCAAAATTTTCTGTCCCTCCACTGACAGTCCAGTTAACCAAAACATGTGAAGCAAGCAGTTTCATTCCAAGTCACATGATTGTTTATATGTAAATAAAAGTCTAAATTAATTCTGTTCATCATATAAAGAGACTGTATCTCTTAACAAGACTTGGATTAAACTGCTCAATTGATTTGGATTGATTAAAAACATTGAAAACGTTAAAGACCCCAAACTTTCAAACGTTAGTGTATATGACTGTACCTGGAGGCAACAGCCCATCCTGGCAAGCCAAATCGCTCATAGTCGCCACCGTAGATGTCCCTGACTAGTTTATCCACATGTGTACTTTCTCCTTCTGTGGCCATTGCCAATGCTTCCTCAAAGGTGGAGCATCCAGTCAACAGGCAACACAGCCCAAGGAATGTACCACCACCAAGACTGAAGGGGAAATACAGAAAAGATTACCATAGCTTTACAGTAAAATCCCCTTGTTTTCTTAAACTGTTTAAGAGTTATTTAAAAATAATGCAATATTATAAAGTCATGACCAACCTGGTTCCAGTGACACGCTTGTAGTTGTCTTTGGAGTATACAGCCAGTATGCTGACACCAGAGCCAATGTTGACAAGCAGCAGTGGATAGGGGTTCTCCAGGTTGTATGCCTTCTGCTCGCAGCGCTCAGGGTCTGTTGGATGCTCAAAATAGTAACATTCAGGTGGACCACTTGAGACCACTGAGTAAATGTACAGAACCCCCTTTATCAGACAGTCCAGCTCATCCAGCTTCAACAGCTGCAGATTGGCCATCTTGGTGAGGAAAGACAGCACAGGGAACCATTTATTTAAAGGAACAGTTCACCAAAAATCTCCCTCGGACCATTCAAGATGTAGATGAGTTTGTTTCTTAAATAGGAACAGATCTGGAGAAATTTACCGTTACATTACTTGCTCACCATTGGATCCTGGGTGCCGTCAGAATGAGAGTCCAAACATTATGGACTCGTATTTTGGCCAGAAGAGCTTATACAGTTAAAACACCTTAAAGGGGTCATATGATGCGATTTCAAGTTTTCCTTTCTCTTTGGAGTGTTACAAGCTCTTGGTGCATAAAGAAGATCTGTAAAGTTGCAAAGACTAAAGTCTCAAATCCAAAGAGATATTGTTTATAAAAGTTAAGAGTCAACCACGCCTACCTAAAACGGCTCGTTCTAACACGCCCCCACACTGTAAACCCGAACAGTACTACTAACTTATAAAGATTAAGAACACTGCAATTAAAGTCTGTTAAATCGTTGATGCAACTTATAGTGGCTTCATCACTGTGTCTGTCACGCGTCTCTGTTCCCCTTTCGGGCTCTGTCTTTACATTTATTTTGAAAGATGAAGCTCGTGATTATGGTAAGGGGCGTTACATTTCCGACGCGTGCTTGTGGTGTTCGGCCAATCACAATGCACTGGTTCAGCTGGCCAATCAGAGCAGACTGTGCTTGTCAAAGGAGGGGGCTTTGTTGAAAACTACGCGTTTGAGAGAGGCGGGGCATAGAGGACCTACAATAATGTACAGTATTTGAAAAATAATGTGTTTTTTGAACATTAAAGCATGTCAACATATTCTGTTACACCAAATACACCAAATAATGATCTTTAAAATAGCATCATATGACCCCTTTAATGATGGATTTGTTTCTTAGCAACACACAGCTTTTCACTTCACAAGGTGTTAATTGATAGACTGGAGTGGTGTGGATTATTATGATGTTTTTATCAGCTGTTTGGACTTTCATTCTGACAGCACCCATGCACTGCAGAGGATCCACTGGTGAACAAGTGATGTAATGCTAAATTTCTCTAAATCTGTTCCGATGAAGAAACAAATGCATCTACATCTTGGACAGCCTGAGGCCATCATTTCATTTTTGGGTTATTTATTCCTTCAAACAGATCACATAAAATATATATATATATATATGCAATATGCAAAGTGCAACAATGCAAACTTGGACACACCGTACGGAAGTCATCCTCATATTTAAATGCACCACCTCCAGTGGCACAGAGGGTGGTGTGCAGACTGGAGAAGTGCTTGTCTCGACCCATCTGCAGGAAGGCAGGCAGCTCGTGCGTGGGAAAGCGGATGAAGTGCAGGTTGCCCTTGCGGCCCCAAAGGGTGAGGTCAGAGAGCTCCAGGTGAACATCTCGAATACCTGTTTTGCCGTAGGCAGTGTGTGAGGTGAGGTAGCGACGGATGCTTTTCAGACTCTCCACCTCTTCCTGTTCTTCTTCTGCTGTAATGTCTTTAGGCTCAAAGTAGACCAGCTTCACCAACGTGCCACCAATGTCCATGCCAAACCATGGGAAAGCTGGGGACCAATAATAGGTAAGTGACTTCAATACCTTGTGCATATTCTAAACATTTTCTTTGAGTAAACCTGAATGAAGCTCATTTCACTTTTTTAGGAAAAAGTTCAGTTAACTTTTTATGAGCCGTTTTATTTTCTGTTAATTTTCATTTTCAGCCCTGTAGGTAAAATTTGTAAAGTTTCTAAATAAGTTTAAAATCCTCATTTGTGATTTTGCAATTTTCTAACAGTACATCAAATTTTAAATAGACAACATTTATAATGCATTAAAAAATAATAGAATAAGTAAGAGTTACGAATTAAAATACACAATAGAGTTTTAACTAGTTTTGAAACAAACATATTTCTCATTAATCAAAGAGAATTATTTGTTCTTTACACAATAACTTAGCATGACTGAATGGTTGCGCTTGACGAATAAGTCATCATGACATTGTGTAAAAATTGTTTCACACATTTTTGGTTATTAAATGTTATGACTCTGTACCATTTTACTACAGTGCTGGGTTGCCCTTTGATCAGATTTCTGAAGAAAATCTTGCTTATTCAGTTCTTCAACTGTACATTAGACTATAGAATTAATGCTACACCATATGCAAATAACTGTATTACGTTTAATGCTAACTTAAATGTTATCTATCGTCTATACACAACATTTAAATTCAGGACTAGTGTATAATATGTTTTTGCATGGAATGTTTTAACAGGAATCCCCAATTTAAATTTTTTTATAGTAATATGATGCCAACCGTGAGCGCACGAAATTGACAAACATGGCTATAAAACGTATGACTATAGGTTTGATTTATTTATATATATTTGAGATTTTATCACTATGATTTCACTGTGGCATCAGCTCCGTTAACCCTGTTACCTAGCGCCATAACAAGATGGTTCACCTACGCGGCCTGTTCTTTTTCAGCGAATCGAGCCTCAGCATCGCCGGTGTCGATTTTGACATCCGCTGCTCTCGGAGTGCACTGCCGCCGGCCGCTGCGCTGTCTGCACCCGGTGTAGCAATTATGCTACATGACGCATCCGTCTTTGATCGAGGCAGCCTGAGCGCTTTCGGTTCTTCCTCTTGCTCCTCGGCACATCCCTCGCCGTCACAGTGGAAGCCGTTCAGCTCCATTATATCTTTTACCAAAAATTTCTACACTGACTGTTAAGCAGAAAAAACACCGTTAACATATAAAACTGCATTGTCAGTATTTCATACCGTCATTTACATCTCCATTGAAAATGTTTACGTCGCTGTGTTTACACCACAAGCAGTTACTCGACTCTCCAATGAATGAGCTTTTCCTGTCAACTGAAATCCCAACGAGCCAATCAGGTTCTCAGTACAGTTCATCCATTCTCTCATTGGCGAGCACGTAATCTTCTTCACCAGCAGATGGCGAGCTTCCCATAACACTGCACGCATTTTGTTCATAACCTTTTTACCTCCTTTTATGCTCTCTGACCAGAAAGACTCAAGGTAGGACATTTTATTTCAGAAACAATTCTGGAAATCATTATGACTGTGCATGATCAAGTTTAACCAGTACACAAAAAGTTTAGATTAAGTATAAATATTCCCCTGAAATACAGTATCTAGCAAACATACAGGCCCAGATAAAAGATCAGGAGTAACATACAGTGCATTTAAAATTAGGTTCAATCATTTACATTAATGTGTGAATAAAGTGCTTTTGCTGATTAAACATTTAATGAATTACATTTGAAGTGTACACGTAATTCATTCAAAGTCATTCACAATCTTTACAATATGTTGCAGTTTACCCTTACACAGATAACTTGATGCTAATAGCATGAATCTTTTCATGTTGTTTCTGCAGCTCAAACGATAGGGTCATGAGTTTGAATCTCTGAGAATGCATGAATATATTGAATATATACCTAGAATACAGTATTCGATAAAAGACTAAAAGTATTACTGTTGCGCACTGTACCTGGAGACTTCTGCAGACGCAACACTTATATATCAGCATTATAAACAATATAAACTTTACATTTTCACACATGGGGCACTTGGTTATGTTTGCATTTAGCTTAATCTATTTTAACAGTTACTCCACTATTGGACCCTCTTACAGCAGGCATTAGGAGAATACATTTGAATTTTGTCAAAAGCGGACAGTGTCCTGTGTGTGTGCACACTTTGAAACTCTTACGGGGTCAAACTGCCCAGAAAATATGGGACAGTGATGGAGAAAGTGTTCACTAAGGCATCTGTGAATGAGGATTCATGAGAAACAAGATGAGTTTGAGAAGAAACACTCCTGCGAGTCTTCTGTGAGGGGGCTAACGGAGAGGGTTAGAGCGATTGTCCAGTCCATGTAATATGTTCCAAATGAGTTTTTCAGAAATGTCCGAAAGGTTAGGTTATGCAACAGCTCCTTATATGCATGGTCTGTCACTCACAGGATGTATTCTTGCAACTTTTCACAACTCACAATACATCTAATTGTTGAACACTATAATGCCTGTCAAGCTGGGTTCTCCAATTTACTTTAAAGCTCCATGACACTCCATTTAATAGCAGTGAAATAGGTGCAACGGCAGTCAAATTCATTATCGGCCCTGGCATACAAGGCATATATATGTAAGGCACATGGCAAACCATGATTACATATAGTCCTATATATACACTCATGAAAATAAATACATAAGGATAAAACCACTAGAGAGTTTGGCGACAGATATTATGTTGTTGGACAACTAAAATCTCAGTCTGTTCTTCACAGCAAGCTATCGAATGGTTATAGAAGACTTGGTATATAGCACAAACATCATAAGGACTACTTTTATTGTATGTTTTGTCCTTTTCTGAGCTTGACAACACCAGTTATTATCCACTGTTGTTAATGGAAAAGAGCAGCCTGGACATTTTGCTTCGAAAAAGAAAAATCATAGGGGTTTCATGCAACATGAGAATGAGTACCTTATGACAAAATTTTCATTTGTGGGTCAACTTCCAGGCCAAGAACACAGCAGACAGACCAATCCCTGTTGCAGCAATAAGGTGGAAGTTGTTTATCCCAAATAACTCAGGGCACCCCTCTCCTCTCTGCTCTGGCCTTGCAGCACTGGATTCTTCCTCTCGAACTTTGATGGCAGTTGACTTCTTACCGTCATGCCCAAATGGCTCAGAGAGATAAACCGCACTTTCTGTGCCAACATAGTTCATGGTATTGTGGTCCTCAGAGATGACTCTGCTATGTTGCAGGATGCTTGGTGGCTGACCATTCATATTTTCAACAGATGGCTCTTCAGCAAACTGAAATACATTTATCTGTGTATGACCGTGGTAGATAGATTCATAGTGGTCCTCCTCAGGCTGGTTAAGGGTCAAGGGAGCAGCAGTGTATGGAGGGTCTTGAAAGGACTGAGTAGCAGAATCAAGGGAAGCAAAGGGTGCGGAGTTCTGGTCTGCATGACTAGTAGACTGTCCAGGTTCTGTGGAAGGCTCTGTTGCTTGCATCAAGCTGCTGATCTCCAAATCATCTGAAACCACTGAGCAAGGCTCCTCTTGCGAGACAGGAAGAGTCACTGGTCTGTTCTGCTGGAGTTCTGAATGCTGAAGGATGCCAGGTTTGCTGAAATATTCCTGGTCGATGGAAGCGGGAGAGTGCGTAACCACCTCAGCAGGTGCAGAAGATGTTGCCTGAGCTGTTCCGGTAGAATTTGTTGGAGCATTAAAAACTGGCAATCCAACAGTGTTGTTCCTTTGAACCACCTGCAAAGAAAACAGAAGAATAAGCCACAGAAGACAATAGATTAACCATTGGAAAACCTGAAAAAGAGTTGACCAGATCCTTTTAATAACAAACTTTCTATGTCACAGTTTTGCCAAAGAACAACAGTGAAGTGCTTTCAGTTGACCATTACCTCATTTGCAGTTGGGTCAGAGATCTCTTCCGGCTCCTGAAATGTCCTTTCCACTCTCAGAAAGGGATTAGTGTCTTGGACAGGGAGTCTCTCAGAAGTGTAAATGTCTTTGACTTCTAGTGGCACCTGGGTTTTCATTGACTTTGGAGAAGTTTGGGAGGTGGTGTAAGGCTTTGTCATTTGGCTTTGAGAAGTGGAAGTGTCTGAGGAAGATGCTTGTGCATTTGAGGTGGAGAGTAGAGCTTCACCATTTGATGAGGAGATGGTGGTTTGGTCTGTTAAAGCCAAGCCATCTGAACTATCTAAAGCGGGTGTTTTGTTCTCAACTGCCCCAGTGTGGGTTGTGACATTTTGCTGAACAGGTAAAGGCACTTTTGAAACTGAGGCTGCAGGAGGGGGAGGTGCTTGGGAAGAAGGTACAACAGGAGGTGCGATTTCAGCTTGGGAAACTGGTTCAGCAGAAGGTGTTGGAACTGGAGTAGGCGGTTTCTGCACCTGCTGTGTCTCTGGAACTTGGAGAACAGGAGCAGGAGATGGTTCTGGGGCTGCAGTGTTGGAAGGGGCAGTTGAACTTGCTGGGGCAAGGGGCAGTTGAACTTGCAGAGGAGTAGTCGCTGGGACTGTATGAATTGTTGCTGTGGTTACGGTTGTTGTGGCACCAGTTGAAGTATAAGAAGGAGCTGGAGCAGGTGCTGGTCTGGGTGTAGGAGCAGCATTATCTATAGATAAAAATAAGAACAAAGGCATTCATAAAATAATGTCCCTCCTTTTCATAATTTGCTTAGAACATAAGCAGGAAAGCTCTTACTGGTGATGCCCCTGATCCTGTCATAAGTAGCGCTTATTTCATCAGCCAGTTCCCAATGTTCACAGTTCCGGAGTGCAGTGATGAACTCATCAGGCCATTTCTCTCGCCTCCGCAGATTGTCCAGAAGTGTCTGCATAGCAGTGAAGTTTCCAGAAGTTTCTCTCTTGGCTTCGACCTCTTCCTGCAAAAATACAAATTCAGTTAGTAAACAAAAAAAGATTTAACTGAGCCTATTACTCTTGCATATCTGGTTATAGTTATGATGTTATTTGTAGTTAAATGTAATACTGCTTACCCTATCAGTGAGTGTGAGGCATGGCAGGTGAGGTAAGATATCTCTCACTTTCACCCTTGATGAAAAACGAGCCAAATTTGGTCTGATTGCCTCATTATAAAATTGCTCACGTGTAAATGACATTTTTGCACTTATAAAGAGAGAAAGATAGAAAAAGAATGTTATTCAGTGGTTTATTGTTAATTAATCACACTAAATCAGGGGTGTCCAAACTCATTCCTGGAGGACCACTGTCCTGCAGAGTTTAGCTCCAACTTGCTTAAACACACCTGCCTGGAAGTTTCTAGTATGCCAAGACCTTGATTAGCTTGTTCAGGTGTGTTTAATTGACCTATCGGTAAGCCTCGCCACCTTAGTTACTGTTGCTAACTTGGACAAACAAACGGAGTTGCTAACTGTCTTACAATGACAGCTGTCAGTGTGAAAACCTTGTCCCAAGACAATGTTTCCCACAGACTTACACTCTATGTGTGGCGGCACTTCCCCAGGGGGAAATATAGGCTATATATAAAACAGTAGGGGTGCTCCGATCAGGATTTTTGAGGCCGATCACTGAAAGCAGTGTCTGCCGATACCGATCACCGATACCGATCTTTTTAAAGCCTTCTTTTTATCATTTATAACTATTTATAGTGATACTTCAATCAGGATTTTTAGACATTTATTCAGGGCCTGAATTTCATTTTTGAAAATGGGGTGAATTCCCCTTGTGAGAGAGGAAGCAGCACGGTCTGTGCTTTCACACAGTAGTCCGGTACTGATCCGTGGCTGTTTACCACAAACACAACATTTATTCCAACATTATAATCATTCCATTATTTTCATTTCAAATTCAAACATTGTCACTGAAAATGCTTTTTCAGCATTGCAATTCTTTTTTTACACAGTACAATAATACAGTCTTTCACAGACATGTTTAAACACAATAAATATAAGCAACGCATCATTCAATGCTTTTTACTCTTACTGCATTTAATTCTAGATGTATATATTAAGTTGCTCAAGCAAGTGGCAAACATTTAAACTACTTTATGTTATCACAAACTTAACATTGACAGAAATAGTCAGCTCTACTGCCTTTCCTTTTGCACTGAAACCTTTATTACAAGCAATCCTGCGGTTCATAAAGAACTTTGTTTTCCTACCTACTCTTGGTGAAATTACGTCTCACACAAGGTTTTCAAATTACTTTAGAAGTTATTTAATGTAGAAATATGGTGAGTACCTCACCTTCAGCATTATAATTATTTCACCCGCACCGCAAAAAGCCATATGTGTTGACTGTGAAACACAGGAGACTTTGATAATATGCATTTATGGTGTAGTTACAAAATTTTCGTGTCAATCCATGTTCATATTTACTGCAAACAATGCGCTGTTACTTTAATTCAGCGCTTGCAGCGCAGCAACAGACTCGGTGCGGAAACGATCTCTGCACTGCTGCAGACGCACCACTACTGGAACGCATGCCGGACCGCAACCGAGACTGAGAAAGAGCCGCTGCATGTCGTGCCAAACCTCTCACGGCAGGCGCGGCATCAGCTTGAGATCGTTTTTTTGAGATCAGCCTTTTTAGAGAACGCCGATCAAACATCCCAACGTGATTATCGGCCGATAGTGACTGGTAGCCGATCAATCGGAGCACCCCTATAAAACAGCAAACGGGCTTATTGAAAATGCACATTCATTCTGCCAGCGGGAGGCACTTTAGGAGCGGCAGAAATAGCGGTTTCCCCTGTAACGGCTGTAAACAAAGCGGCGCTCCGCTCATAAACGCTACTTTGTCAGGCGTTATAGGAAAGATTAAATGAAAATGACATCGAAACTTTTCTAAAGACAGTCGGTGCCTTTCAAAGATACATTCATATAAAAACACCCGCGCCACATTTTGACTTTGAAACGTGCAGATCTCATGTTTATTCACTGAACTCAAAGCCTTTTGGAAAATCTATTTGTGACTGTCAATGTTGATATTGTGGCGGACCGCCACAAATAAATCAATGTATGGGAAACATTGCCCAAGATGTTTTTGATAAATTTTGGACACAGAAGGACCACTATTCAAGTGTGACTTAAATATGCCATGGAGGGGTATATAAAATATTTTAAAATAAATATGGTGGGTAACAAGATTAATTTGGAAGCGAGGGTTTACAGATCACAATGCAAGCGGGAGAATCCTCATTAAGATCTTCACAATCGCAGATGACAATATCCAGGATTCATGTACCGCAGGGTAAGATTAAATTAATTTACATTAACCAGTTTAAGGAGAGGCACTGAAATGTAGACCTTCATTTATGTGTTTTTGACCTACACTGTACATGACGTGAGAACAGTTAATTATTTAGTTTTGTACGTTAGCATCGACTCACTTTAGCTAGTTTTAGCCAGAGATGCCTTGCTGAAGCACAAGATGACATTAATGTTCTGCTTGAGCAGACAAAAATTGTAACATAATGACAGTATGACAACCAGAAAATGAACATTTTCGTCTTCATTGGGATTGGGGTTGAATGCTTAGGGACATTTTGCTCTTTCTTGTTTGGGTTTAGTAAATGGAATAAAATAAATGTCCGAGTTCCGATCCCTGTGTAGCTGATACTCAACTGCCATTGGCTCATCTGCTTTCGAGGAGAGGGGCTTACCGATAGGTCAGTTGGGGTTGGAGCTAAACTCTGCAGAACAGTGACCCTCCAGGAGCAGGATTGGACACCCCTGCACTAAATAAAATCACATACTTCAAAATGAATATTGGTACCTGCTTTAAACAGTAGAACCCAACAGCTTCTTCCTTGTGTTCCTGAATCTGGACTCCAAATCAGACCTGGGAAAAGAATTAGAGAAAATTGTTATGAAAGCCTTAAAGTTTAATCTTAACAGTTTAATGTGAAGGTTATCATTACAAGTGTGAATTAAATTGTTAAATAATCAGCTAGGCAGAGTGCAGTCTTCTGACAATTCTAGAAATATGATCGCATCATCTCATATAATCCATCCTGTTTCAGCACGTCTGGATAAGGGAAGCTTTCACCTGAAAGTGAAAGTGAAAACTGATGTATGCATGAGAATTTTAGGGAAATCCTTAAGTTTCCATTTGGCCTTCATTAGAAAAGAGTTTCAAACAACAGATAAAACAGAAATGCATTTTACATAACTGGTGTGACATAAATGTTTGTAAAATATAGATTGGAACATAAAGCAGATTTTACATCATCTTTGCAACATTGACTCATCAGTACAGGAGATGTCCCTGAATGGGCATTCCTCATATCCACTCTACATTTTAAAAACATTTGTGACACCAGTTATATCAAATGCATTGCTGTTCTTTCTAATGATTCTAATTCTTTCCCAAACTCACAGGAGTACTACATTGTTCATTATATGTCAGAGCTCTGTCCATTTTTGGTTTGGCTAATGTGTTAATGACTGTATAATGTAATCGTTCTTGATTGTAAGGTCTTGTTAAATATATTTCTAAAATAAATCATGTAATGAGGACATACATTTTTCTTTTGGTGACAGACAGATCAGAGCTGCACTTCCTGCAGACACATGATATTATTCACTTAATATGTATGCTAAGCTTCTGAGTACATGTAGGCCTATATCTGTAAATAATTTTCGTTTGTCTTAAACATTTGTGAATGAATGAACCAAAGTTTACCTAGATCGCAACCCTTGTTTTGTGTGGGTTCTGGGGTGATTCCTCAACCTGATTTCGATATTTGTGTATCAACTTGTGCAACATATAAATTAATTCAGCTTTATAATAATTAAAAATTAACCATATTTACAAAACCTTTTAGCGCATTTAAATAATTTGCAACTAAAATGGTCTTAGCCTATTATCTAACACAACATGTCATGGCTGTAACAAAGTTATTCTGACATGGGTGAATATTTTAGTATTTCTGTATGCTAGGGAATACAAAACTTATGTAAACTGGACATTACACTGCTGGTTGAAAAATTAATGATCTCCAAATATCAAAGCAGAAAGCTACTGCTGTTCTGCAACCATTGCTCGTTTTCCCTCAAAATGTTCAGTTACACATATCTGCTGTTCCCAGAAGGACGGAAATATACAAAACTGTAAAATGCCATGTTTTAGAATAATAGTAGAAAAGTAGTAGAGAACAATTATACAGTATAATAGTACTTTTAATGTTTATTAACACTTTCTAACAGTATACTGCTAACAATAAGTATATACATTGTATAATGAACATCATAAGCTAAAAACAATATAAATTTGATTCAAAAAGTGCCGAATCGATACTCTTCATACAATATTGAATATACAATATTGAGTTAGGAATTGCCAAAGCAGATAGGCACAGAAACATCACCTGCATCTGTGTCACATAGCTACATGCGTAAAGCATTAACAAATCGCAGCACATTTCAATCTTTCTCATAGTGAAAAGCAGGACCCGTGAAGACAATTGCTGTGTATTGGAAACAAATCATCAGAGACTGTGTTTTTAGTATGAATCCTGGTCTGTTTGCACTTAAACAGCTCAGCAATTATAATCTGTTGTCAGATTCAATGATAGTACTGCTCTTCTGAACTAAGGCACTGGCAGGTTAATCCATAGTTCACGTCCCTTAAAGGTCAAACATGAAATGGTTTAACTGGAACAGAGTTATTATTATATGTCATCTTGAATGATAACAGACATAAGGGTCCATTTACTCTCCTAAGCCACACTAAACTAGACAGGTAGGCAGGTGCTGTCCTTCCTCAGAGCTAATGTGCAGCCAGCCAAGTCCAAGACTATTCACAGTTTCTAATAAATTTTTATAGGGTTTAAAGAACGAGGTTGAGGTCACAATGACAGACTGTGTAACTGGCTTATGTTCAAGGAAACTGGCAAACCTGCTCTCATGTGGAATGTCCTCTAAACGACCGCACCATTTCCACGTAAAACCTTGAAGAAACATTGTCAAGTAGCCTACTTCAATTTGACCAGGAAGCACCTAACTTTCTTGATATACAGCATACATACCTTAAAGTATGTTATACGTTGTGCATGACGAAAATGATTAAGATTAACGTCAAAGAGCAACTTTTGAATCCCATGCAAAAGTGATTACGAAGAGTCCAGCGAAATATTATAACCAATAGCCTATTTGCCAGAAAAAACAAGTCGCGGGAGTCAGAAACATACGAATCTTAACTTATTAACATTTGAGTTTATGTAACACGGATTTACAAGAGACAGTCCGCCTGTTTGTAAGTGAAATCGTCTTTAACTTTACTGGTGAGCGAGCTTTATGCAAGAAAGACATTAATACACGAAACACAAGTACAGTATAATTTGCGCACAAAACAACTACCACTGTAGAAATGTGAAGTGTATTTGAACCTACCCTTTTTAGACGAAGGTCAGTCTGTGAGGTCCTTCGCAGGCAGGCTGAACCACTAAGTTTCGATGCACGTCTTCGTTCAGCGTCTCTCTCTCTCTCTCTCTCTCTCTCTCTCTCTCTCTCTCAGTTGGTCTTGCCCTGGAGCCGTATAACCACTTTTCTCTAAGGCCATTTTCAACTCATGCTTTGTGAATTCCATGTCTAGTGTTGATTCGTCAGTGTCCTTTTTCCTTAATACATCATAACATTTCCTAATAATATCCTCTTTCCGTTGCTTATGCACTTCATCTAAGTGACTTCCACTATGAATACTTGCAAACTTCTTACCTAATAAGTCAGCTTTCTCCTTGTTTGTTATTGCCAAATATTCTCCATCTACCAACACGGGGATTTTAACAGATTTCCTTTTGCCAATCATCTTTTTAATCATTGACCATACATCATTCAGATCGATTTCTCTACCAATAGCTGAACAGAACTGTCTCCATGCATTCTTCTTTGATGACTTAATTATTTTCCGTGCCTTAGCTTTCTTTCTTTGGTAATCAATCAAATTGTCTTGACTCAAATGCTTCCTTAGGACTCTAAATGCACGATTTCTTTCTTTTATTGCATTTTTACATTCACTATTCCACCATGGAACCATTTTTCTTTTTCCATTCACTATGCTTTTTGGTATACAAGTTGATGCAGCATTAATAATTGAACACATCACTGCACTAGTACAGCTATCTACATCTCCTTCCATTGATATAGTTTCAGCAGATTCCTTGCAGCATACTCTAAATTTATCCCATTCCGCTTTAGAAAAACACCATCTCTCTATTCTGTAACCTTCCTGTACATGTAGTTCAAAATTAATTGTGCATAATATCATATAGTGATCACTCCCTGTGTTAATGTTATTCAATATTTTCCATTCACATGAATTGCTCATATTTCCAGAGACTAAGGTAAGGTCTAGGCATGATACTAAGTTTCTTGTAGCATCTACCCTAGTACCACTTCCATCATTAAGACAAACAAGTGATCTCTCATCCATTAATTCTTCAACTAATTCTCCATTTTTATCTGTGTGATTACTTCTCCTGTCATCATCACACGCCGTTTGTCTTTTTCATTGGATCTTGGAACTGTGTATCAACTTGTTGCAATATTACGCCACTAAATATTCATATTTCCGTTTTGCAAAAATGATTTTGGAATCGTATTGTCTTGCAAGGACAAGTTTAAAAATCATAACCATTATTATTTGTATAATTTTGTTGGCACGATCGGAGGGGACAAACTGTGATGTCGAAAGTAGACTAAAATTATTCCAGATCAGGTAGACTTTGAAATACATGGTTACCTAATTAAATTATACAGCTGTTAAAGGTGTGGCAGTTGTAAAAGCCGATAAAGACGCAACTGAAAATTGATCAACTCTGAGGGAGGGAGAGGAGAGATATGCTACAGACTGAACGTGTCATAGGCTACTTAAGTTCATTTAATGAGACCCTCGAGCCGCAGTATTTGTGGCCCGGGTGATGTTGCCCACCATCAAAAATATAAATGTTAAGTGTGTACAAATAATGTGTTCAATTTCAACAATAATTAGGGAATTAATTTTCAAAATTGCTGTAAAGCTAGAGTTAGATATAGTGCATTGAACAGTGTGCACTGCGCAGACGCGCGTTCTCAGACATGCGCATTATATACTTGCACATCTGCAGTAATGACAGAAAGAAGTGATGTCTACTCCCACATATTTATTCTTTAGGATTTGCGTTACTAACCTAAACAAAATCCTAAAGAGAGCTATCATCTGGAAAAGTAAAAGCTTTGAACCGTATACACTATTAATATATTGGACATATTTCCAGCAAATGTGTTTCGTTTTATTCTTGTTTAAGATGTCATTGTGTTAAACTAACAGCATATTTAGCAACACATATTCGCCTTATTAATATAAAATAGGGGAGAGTGGGGTGATTTGAGCCTGCGTGAGCCACCCCTTGTTTCTAGACAACTTTAAACAAAATTGGTGATACCACACAAATTTGAAGATTTAAGCATTTTACTCACCCTGCATGTGATTGAGAGGGGCCCATGGTACTTGGTAACTACGTTTAGTTTCAAAATAATGTTTTTTGCTGTTCAAAGTGATTTTTGTATGTACTTCTTGTGTGTTGTTTGGACTCATGCTTCTTTGTCTGTAACAATTACAGACAAATCTGAAAAAAATATCACACGTGTTTGTGCTTTAGGAGGTTATAATATGAGGCTATAATGTTAGCGCTAAACTGTTGGATGATACAGGTTTGTTAAAATGGTAGGAGTGGGGTAATTTGAGCCAAAGGTCCTGGGGAAAGGGGAAATTGTATTTCCCTGCAACATTTATAAGTGGGATGTTGAGTACTATTAGCCCATTTCTCTAATATCAGTTGCAGTTTTTTTTTTATTATTCAATTTGAACTTTTTTTTGTGAAATTTTTAAATAATTTAAAAAACACCTTCAGAGTTGTGAACTGTATCTTTAAATAAAACTTTTAAGAAGTCATCCATCCATCCACCCATCCATCCATTCTATTATCCAAACCTATATGTCCTTATTTGGGTCGTGGGGAGCTGGATCCTAACCCAGTGTCTTGAGCCACAGGTGAGGAAACTCCCTGGATGAACGGCCAGTCCATCACAAGGCTCACACATAGATTTTAAGAAGTCATTTTTTATTGAATTTATTTTAAGAAGTAATTTTTATTGAATTCATCTTCCTTTGATATAGCATGAGGTGAAAATGTTCAGTTTTACTTCAGCATAATCAGTGGCACAGTTTAATGTGGCTCAATTTACCCTCTCCCTAATTTACCCCACACTGGGGGCTAGTTGAGCCAAGGGACCACTTTTTTTTTTTATTTTATTTTTTTTTGAAAGCCGTATTTTGAAAGCCGTTTATCTTAGACTCAAAGTGATTATTCCCAAGGATGCACCACATCCTGAAATGTATGTACATATTTAAGTTGGACCCATTACTGTCATGTGCTCACTTTAAACACGGCGTAAGTAAAAACTGTCTCAACTCACTCCGCTCTCCCCTAACTATTATAACATTTTCTGTGCTGCCCCTGATGCTATATTGAGGGATACTGTTTTGTGCCCCCTGAGCTTTCTAAAATTGAGTAGCCCTAGAAGACAAGAAAATTTAGATATTTTGTCATGTCAACTAAAGCAAAAAAGAGAAAGAGGTGCAGCAGAGTAAAAATAGAGTAATAAAAATACATTTGTATATTTTTATTGAAGAAAGGGTTGGTCCTTGGCTATATGCAAATACCCTCATGTATATGTATGTATCAATGGCCAATTCACCAAGTCACCACAGTGGATATTTCTCCAAATGGCCAGTAGATGGCCCTGTATGTACAGAGTGGAGCTGTACTCTCATTTTTTTTTTCCTTCACCATCTTCTCTATCCACCTGAATTCACACGCTGAATGCATCTTTCACTGTCTTCCCTGGTAATGGCTATTATACTATAGAAAATACATAATGTGAGCATATCTCCTAAGGCTACAGCCAACCTCTTGTATTTGTGTGTATATGGGCCACTGAAGGTAGAATACTGTGCATGATAATTCACTGGCCTTATGTTTAGCTCAAACAATCAATGCAATGCATACCACACTTTATATAGTAAATACAGAACTGTACTTTTTAAACCATCCCTTTTCATACTCTCTGAGTCTAAAGTAAATACTTAATATTGAGTGTATAAATAGTTTATTCAAAAATACTTCTGGCAAAAACATTGTGAATGTACTAGATTAGTGGCGTGTCCTTATGTCATAGAGATATAGTGTCAAGCTGCTAAGTAATAGATTAGTGGTACAAAGTAAGTTTAGCTTAGTTTATGTCGACCCTAATTGATGAGCTCCTAAGTAAAAATGTACATATGCATTTGCTTGTGTTTTCCAATCACATTTGTGGAGATTATTAATTGCTGGCCTATATATTGCGTCACAGTATGTTCACCCTGGAATGTTAAATGTCAGAGTGTATTTTGTAGTAACCGAGGAAGCTTTTAGTTGAAAAAAAAAACAGTGATCTTTTAAAAGCACCTAAAGCTAATCATTCATTCGGCACTAATAGAGCCTACGCTAAAAAAGCATCCACTGTGAGCTCTTGACCGACAATATATCATGCTCACATGGTTTTTGTGGGCCGTGGTCCTTTCCCTGCAATTTCTAATCTTTTGATACCACATACAAAAAAATACATATATAGTGTGTATATAGTGAAAAGAATGCAATGCATGCATGTAAGCATATTTCTATGACACATTTTTTAACAAATAACGTTGAAAATGTTTTGAAATATTTGCACCTATATTCTAGGTTGCATTTGAAATCAACCAACAAAGGGATTAAACAATACACATTTTAAAGCATATTTTTATTGTTTACATATATTTGAAACATTTCATAGTGAAACAGATTCCGAGTCAGAACATACATTAATTAAATATACAACAGACAAAACAGAAGCAGACTAGTGACAATAAGATTATTTACTTCATAAAAAAGAAATGTAACCTTTTTGGCCCCGTGCAACTATGCAGGGCAATCAGAAAAGGTTTTCACAGTCAATACATACATTTAGTCAATACGTGACTGCACAGTTTATTATCTGGGGTGTCAGATTAGTAGATTAGTAGACCTCTGTCACATTTTATAAAGAATTATATAATTCATGAGCAACCAGCTACCATGTTTCAAAAACAAGCTTGACCACCTTAAGATGACATGACCAGCTGGCAGCTGGTTTGTTGGTGGTTTACCAGCTTAGACAAGCTAGATTCAGCTATCATTCTCCAAAACACAGCTATCATCTTAAACTGGATTTCCCTGCACGGGTATAACAGAGGTCAAAGGTTAGAGTTCAATGTTGCTTTGATTCATTCGTTCCCATGGTAACGGGTCAATATCCTCTGCGACTGTAGTGTTTCGTCGTTCGCTCCAAAAGTGCTCGAGATCTGGGAGAGTTTGACAGGATGCATCTGAATGCCTCTCTATTATGGTCACACATCCTCGCTCATCCAAT